CTCTCTCTCCCTTCTGATTCTTCTCCTATTTACGGCGGCCGTACGCGGCCTCCGCTCTTTTTTTGCGGCTTCCTTTGTGGACATAACATGTCCGCAAAAGGAAGTAAAGCTCTCCCATACCTCTCTGCCGCCGGCCATAACCTTAACCTTAATCACGACTGGCGGCAACAGATCCGCTCCTACAGCGGCCCTGTAGGATACGACGCTGCCCTTCCCAAGCGAAGATTCAACCTAACCTAACTTTAGATACTTTATCCTCAGATTGTTCTAATTTGAGATTAGATTATGTTAAGTTGACGAGTTTTCAGGTTAGAAGAATAAGAATTTTTGGTTATTTTAGCAACTTTAGAATTTTAAAGTGAACATATGATCATAGAAAGAGGAGGACGTACTAGGTGGCGGCGGGACGCCGTGCGTTCGGGATCTGCGTATCTCTTTTCTTCCGGAGAGAGAAAAATATCGAGAGAGTAGTTTGCTAGGCCAAGACTCGAATCCGAGTCTTTCGCTTGCCGGACGACTACTTTAAATCGCTGAGCTACTTGATGCTCCACGCTCACGACACTCTCCTCTCTTCAGATAACGTTCAGAGATGCCGTTCGGAAGCGACATCTCTGGCGCGATTCCGAGCGTACGGTGACTACAGAGAGAGAAACAATGTTACTGTACCAAGTGGTACAGCTGTCAGTCTCTTAAAGTCAACGGTTGCTATCCTTTAAAACTTGCTGTCAATGTTTTAGTAACTATATAGCTTTGAAATAAAATATTTCGAAACCTACGAGTTTTAATGGAAAATTATGAATAACAAAATGTGTTTGTCTCTCCAAGGAATTAAAATATATAATAAAAAAGAGATGCTCTCGTTTAGAAAAATAAGGTCGACCTTGAAATAAATTTTTAGACTTGATCAAATAAAGAATACTATCAGGTGACCTTTTCTGTTATAGTACCGAACAAATTTTTGTCTAAACATATTTTTTATTCGATTCTATCCTGCGAAAATAAAAGAAGTGATAGATTAAAATGGAACACCCTATATACAGGGTGGACCATTTTAATCCATCCAGTCGAATATGTCGAAAACCAAGCACGGGAGAGAAAAATGTTTCAGACAAAAGTTGTAAGGCTTAAAAAAACGCATTCAACAATAGTAGTTATTTGACATAGGATGGCGTCGCCAAGGTCAGAACAAGGTCAACTTTGCTTTTTTAAATAGAAATACATATTTTTTATTACGGCATTTTATTCAACGTAAAAACGC